CCCCAAAACCCCAAAACCCCAAAACCCCAAAACCCCATGAGAGTCTGTCTCGCTTGAAAATAAGTAAAATTGTAATGTAAGCACTGGAATAAAAAGGAAGTTAGCTATACTAATCTAAGGTTACTTTCCCTGCTGCTGTCTCAGCATGCTTCCTATCAGCACCTAATCTTCCCAAGATGGATAAACTCTAGCCCAAATGTAACATGAGTTCTACCCATATTCTACTGCTCTATTTCTTCTGAGTCCTACCTTTGATAGATCTAGCTGCGGATTTGGATAAGATTTGGTATAATTGGTTAAACAGAAAAAGGAAATGTTAAAATTTATGTGAACGGTCTGACCACATACTGCTGTGACTTTAGGTAATCTACTTCTGATTCTAGATGAGCATTTTTGACTTTTAGTGCTGCTGTTTGTTGGGCGAGCTGTTGATACTTATTTATGCAAAAATTTGTATTCTTTTTCCATAAGTTTGGATTCCTTCGAAAATTTGGTAAATAGGTCTTGCTTGGCTCGTAAGTCAAGATAAGAGGAGTCCAATGGGTCTTTGAAGCTAGCAATTTCATTAGCGTTCTCGTTGAGGTAAGTATCCTTCATATCACGGATCTTATTTGGAGTAGCCCCTGATACGATTCAAGAACTTTGACCTATCCTTGTTATTTATCAGGGAACTGCTTCTGGTTTATCTCGTGGATTTTCAAGCGTCTAAAATTGTATGAACTAAGGAGTTACCTCAAGTGTAAATCAGTGAGGGATTCGATAATATTTTCCCAGTCAGACAAGGCCTGATACTCACTACTTTTAGAAAAATGTATCAACTGCGGAAGGATGTTTGATAGTACAGTGTTTGACTTCGATATTTGATTCATTTGTTTATCCTTGCTTTCAAGGATTTTACTATGCTTAAGCTTGTGTATTTCTGATTGAACAAGGAGGCCATTTTGGGTAAGAATAACAGATTCAGAGTCTAATATCTTCAAGTTCAAGTTGCTAAGGGAATCTCTGGTGTCTCACTGATCAGTGGATATCTGTATAGGCTCCGAGTTCTCAGTCTGGGGAACTTTGCTTTCTTCAAGCGAGGAGACGCTAATGTAAATTTTGCTGGCATCTCCAGACTTTTTCTGAGACGATTCCAAGTTTGTAGTACCATTCTCTCCAACTAGGTTATCACAATTCTCGTTGAATTTGGACATGACCGCGCTATTTTCCTCTCCTTCGTCTGGGAAATACTTTTCCATTTGACTTACTGTTTTTGATGAATTAAAAATTATTTTCAAATTTACTAATCTTTTAGGGGTTTTGGGGTTTTGGGGTTTTGGGGTTTTGGGG